AACTAGTGCCTGAACAAGGATTTAGCATTGCTGTAAGGTTTTTAGAACAAAGATGAACGCGTTTGAATCCAGAAAATGTCGATTCTTTATTATTTTTGCATTATAATTACATATAATATCCATTTTATATTTATATTTATTTCATAAATATTCTATTTGATCAAATAAATTGTTCATAATTTAAATTGAATATTTTTTTATGCTTAAATTAATTTCCTAAATTATAAACTTTTTGTAGAGGTGTAATGCTGAAATATTTTTATTAGATGCTTAAAAAATTGAAAGAATGGCCATTATTAAATTTTATGAGTGGACTTGGGTTAAATTTTTTTATAAATAATGAGCGGGCGGGTAAAAAAATTTAGACTAATGGGCGGGCGGGTAAGGAATTTTAGACAAATGGGCGGGGCGGGCGGGTATATTTTTTGAAAACTATAGGCGGGTTGGGCGGGCGGGTTAAAATTTTTTTAAAACATTGGATGCAGACCTCTACTTCTTTTAACCATGCATCATTTGTTTATAATGCCATCCTGACCCCTAAAAATGAAAATGTCGATTCCATAAATTTTCAATTGATTCCTGGGGATTTGGTTATGTATACAACGAAAAACGATTACTGAGGAGGCGAAATTTTATCCCACTGAATTTTTTAAATTCTTTAAATATATAAGGATTACTACAAACTTTCGCTCAAAGTCGGGTAACTATAATTTTAATGCGACTCCTGAATTAAACAATGGGACGAAATTGATTATAATCTCTTTACGGCCAAATATAATTGAGGCAGAATGTGTTTCTGATATCTTTCTCGGCACTAAAGTTTTCATACCTAGAATATGTTTAATTCCAACTGATTTTGGCTTGCCTTTTCTTTTAAACGCCAGCAATTTACCGTGAGACTTGCTTTTATTATGACAATTAATAAAATTCAAGGACAAACCTTAAACAAAGTTGTATTTATTCATCTCAACCTGTTTTTTCGCATGTAATATTTAGTTAAATCTCGAGTTTGTTCCCCTCATAATCTAAAGATTATGACCAATGATAAAAAAAATATTGGCGTATTGTAAGGTTATATTCGTTAGTCCCGACTTATACTAGTAATTGATACCAATGTCCATTCAACTAGATCCAGCTAAATGACACTAAGAGGTAATCTATTTTGATTTAATGTCTAATTTTAAGGATTTTACTTTTTTGAAATTTGTCAATTGATCTCCCCGAACAATATTATATTCTATTCTATTCTATTCATGTTGATTATGTAAAATTCACTAAAAAAAATTATATATGGTTCACTATTTATATTATTTAAATAGGATAAAAGAACAAAACATATTATGATATTCATTTAAATTAAATTATATATCTATTCTTAAGGATGCTACCTTTTTTAAAGCTTGCCATTTCTTCGCGCTTAACAATATAACCTTTTATTCCTGCTGACTATTTTGTATAAAAATTATTATACACTATTTTTATTATTTAAATAGAATAATATCCTATTCTTAAGGATCCTACCTTTTTTAAAACTTACCATTTCCTCGCGCCTAACAATATTCCCTTATATTCCTGTTGACTATTTTGTAACTCATATACAATACACCAATGTTCAATTCTATTCATACTCATTATTTTGAAAAATTCACTAAAAAAAGCAAACAATACATAGTTCGCTAGTGTTTGTAACGGTCTATCGGTCCTTTTTCCTAAAATGAGACCGGACTGATAGACCTTTAAGTCTAGTGATACCAGATCATGGTACCGTCGGTCTATTCCGGTCTAAAAAATGTTTTTTGTTAAACTATAAAAGTTTTATTCTGCATTAAATACATTAAAAATAAAATGTGATTACCAATATTTTAATTATATCATCAAATTATTTTTATTATATTATACATACAACTGCTTAATATTTCAAACGAATATTAAACCAATACAAATTTATTGAACATAATTTAAATCAATTTGATTTGCATATTTAGTTAACTTTTGTTTTTGATATATATAATGTGATAGATATTTGGTTATAAATTAAAACTGATTTATATATAAATATTCTAATTATCTTCTAAATTATCAAAAATTAAATCATTTTTTATCCATGATTCAAATGTCATTAGAGACTATGTTGCTTTTTTGTGATTTTATCACTAGCTTTAGAAAAAATCCGTTTACATGCTACTGATGTAGCCTGATGTGGATGATAGTCGATTATTATTTTGGCTAGAATTGGAAATCGATATTAATTCCCTTCCCACCAATCTAATATGTTGGAACTAATTAAAATTTGATCGATTTTTTTATTTGCACTACATTTCTAAAAATAAAAATATAATACTATCTACTAAATTAAATTACTTGACGAATGAATGAAACGGAAGAATATAAAAAGTAAACAATGAATGAGATATTATAAAGTGTTAGGCATTAAATAATCACGTCATTTATGTGTTAATGTACATGTACATTAACTAAAAAGCAATTCTAGGTTTATCTTTTTTAATCCGTCTTCGGTCGGACCGGACAATCGGACAATGTTGTCGAACCGGACCGTCTCTTCGGACCCAATAGTTAAGGTAACCGAACTGGACCGGACCACTGCAAACACTATGGTTCGCTATTTTTATTATTTAAATCGAATTTTATATCTCTGAAAGGATAATATATAGTAATATATTTATTATTTAAATAAAACTCTAAATCTATTCCTAAGGTTCATACCTATTTTGGAGCTTTCCATTTCATCCTGACTTACAATATTCCTTTCTATTCCGACTGATTATTTTGTATAATTCACCAAAAATAAATATTCATAGTTCGCTATTTCTATTATTTAAATAGGATATTATATGGATTACCTATTTGAAGCTTGCCAAGTTTCTTCAGGCAATATTCTATTCAAGCTGATTAGTAAAACTCACTAAAAAAGATAAATGGTTAGCAATTTTTTTTAAATAGGATTTTATATCTATTCCAAAAGGACGATACATAGTATTATGTTTAGTTATTAATGCAGGTCCACGTGGTTTAAAATTTCCAATCCGAAAATTCAATTGCGATGGATATATTTTCAATAATGCACAAATTAATTATATTTTTAACTAGATAAAGATATCGAATTATATGAATTATTTGTGAATATATTACTCTGAATAGATTGATTTAACAAAATAATATATAAACGTTAGTTCATAAAATTGGTAATTTTTTTCAAAGTTGCTCCAAATTAGAAAAAATATGTAATATTATTTCTCAATGACACATTCGTATGCTAATTCAGAGCGTATATTTAGTTTAATTGCAAATTTCTGGAGAAAAGATTGTAATCGATTATATATTTGGGTTTAAAGCTTAATATTATATTTTTAGATATTTTTGTAAAGATTTTTAGGTAATATGCGATAATAATTGATAATTTAAAGATAAAATCTATCAAAAAAATATGAATGAGATCAATTTAATTCCCATATTTCGTCTAGTATATTTTTTATGTATAAATTTAATTAATTTTTTTTTAGAATTATGAATAAATTTTTGTGCATTTTTGTTTGAATGAATCTGGCAACCTTGCCCAGTATATAGTAAACAAGGGTTAAGTTAGAAAAAGCTCGCAGCGCAAATGAACAAGAATTTTTTATGTACTCCTTCCACAAGACATTATTTAAAGTGCATTCAATATATCTTGATCGATACTTGCCCTCAGTCGATTTTTTTTATAATTTTTAATTTATTAAACGTGTTTTACAAATGACTAGCATGTTCAATCAAATATAGTTATTTTCCAAATAAGGTATTACGTCGAATATTCTAAAGAAACATTTAAACGTTTGATTACATTTATTATTGTGTTCTTATTTATAGTCTTTATTGAACAAATTTTACCTAAAATTTCAAATCTTTTTTTGTAAATTTTTTATAAGAAAATCTTTTGTAATTAGGCAACTTCTTTAAAAAAATTTTATTTTTTAATTTTATGATCTTCAAAGATTTTTTGCCTCAAAACTGAGCTAAAATTTTTAAAAAGATTTTTTTTTTCTTCTTTTCAAATGCTGGTTAATTTTATTACATTCTTAGTCTTCACTAATACAAATATTATCGTTTGTGTTTTTATTTAAATTATATTTATGCAAATACGTAAAAATGAATACAATTAATGTCGTAATTTGACACTGGATATATTTGCTAACAACACTTTCTTCAAAACCTTTCATAAATAACTTTATTATTTATTTCATCAAAATACCTTGGGTGCAAATATTGCACATTCGCTATAGGCCCTTCACTTATCGAAAACCGTTTAGTCAAATAATTTATAATTTGGATCATTATTGGGTGAAATCTTCAAATTTATAGAGGTACATCGGAACATGTGGGCGTTCATCTTTGCATTCTTCGTTGTGCATTTTTTATTCAAATTTCATTTCCTACCTAAATGTTATCAGGCAGCTTAGAATCAGAAATATGTTTATAACTTTACTTTACATTAATTGGATGGTTATAATATTAATTTAATTAACTTGGTTCAGGAAATTATTTGTCAAAAATTAGGGTATCAAACATGGAGTAATAAAATTAAATAGGAGATGGGATAAAAACTTTGTTGAATATTTGATGTGGAAAACTCGGCTAAATATTTAATTTATAAAATTTAAAGAAAAATATAAAATACGCTAAAATGTACAATTAAATTTTAAAAGTATCGGGGTATATTTACATGTTTTTTATCTCACTTTACTTCTTTAAAAATAATAATGCCGGATGTTACTATCTTTGACATTACTTTAAAGCACTATCAAATATATTCTATTTTAAGCTAAATAGATATTATAAAATATAAGGTTTTTTTATTATTACAATAAATCTTATAAAAGTATATCTAGGTTAGCTGATTAAAACATTAAATAATTGTTTTGAAATTTATAGATTTATAGATTTAGCAATATAAAATATAATATTATAAAAAAATAATCCCCAAAATTAATTTTAAACATGCAATATCAAAATTGAAATTGTTCATATGGAGTGCACGTTATCAAAGCATCTTCTAGAGTAGAGACTAATTTATCCTTTACCATTTGAATAGCGATCTCAAAACGAATATCTTTTTTGATATTTTTGATTACGTTTCTATGTGTTTTATACATGAATTTTAAATTATAAATAAAAGGGATATAAAGGTCTGTAGAATAAATCCAATTATTGTTTGACAAATTATTATATGAACTAATATTTGAGCTTATATAATTAGGGTTTGGATATCTCCATAATTCTATCATAAAAGCGTCTGCTGCTTTAGGTCTGAAATCAAACACTATTTCAAACATTGACAACAATCCGGCAATAGTAACGTCATGACTGGAATACATATGAATAGGTTTAAGGTCCTCAATGTTATTATTGACAATTTTGATATCGTGACATATCAAATAATTTTTAAACTGTGGATATTTGATATTCATCCATTGATAATCAAAATGTTTTAACATATTACACAAGATTCTGCTCAGCAAAAGGCCATTACTCCATTTTAACAAAGCTTTATTTTCCTTGTACATCAAGCCAAATGTTATATCCGTATAATTTTGTATAAAATAATAGACATCAGGCGTTACCCAATCAGGTAAGGGAAAATTATTTGATTTGTCACATAATAGAGGGTCTGCCACAGTCACCATTAATATAGGAGACATGCTCTCTCCCCACCCCGAATATTCTATTACTTTATTATATTGATTGATATTGCTATTGACGTAATTCATTAAAGTGGAATTTGGTATCGTTAGAGTGTTAATTATTTCGATGGCATGATTGTAACATTTTTTGAGGCTAACCAATAATATATCATCTTTGGTTGCTATGTGGAATATGTCATATTCGTGAAGACCTAAAACCTATAAATATTTTAATAAGCTTTTATATTATGAACAATATTTACCATTTTTCGCGTATTGAAATCCATTTTCTTTCCAATAAAGCCATATAAAAAAGCCAAAGCCGAGCTTTTGGCCATTCTAACATCGGTAGATGAAGATTTAATCTCGTTTAAACTTAGTTGACGATTAAAAACTTTATCATATCTATTTTTGAGGAGCCTTCCAGTTTCGAGAATTGCAACAATGCCATTATTCGTTAAATTTGTCTTGCCATTTGGCCAATGACTCGCATTGAATACGTAGTTCTTGAACATAACTAATTCATACGGAGGCCTCTCACCGTGTCTCAATATAATGTTCGTCATTACTATGTTAGAATTATTTGAATCACTTGTAGCTTTAAAAAATTTAAAAAACAATTATATAACAGAAAAAAATGATGGCTCCAATGCAGTTGACCAGGATAGTATTTTATGAAATTAACACATATATTCTTTTAAAGTGTGAGATTAAAAAAAACTTTTCATAAAAAAATTAATTCTATCAAAATAATATATTATTTATTTATTTTTTCCATGCAAACTAAAGAATTGTTATCTCATGGCCAGGTACACAAATTTCTAAAATTTTTGTATAATTAGCCATGAATTTTATGCTAACTATGAATTCAGGGTTATTCAATCAATTTCTAGATACATATAAATTATTAAAAAATATAATTAATATTTCTAAATTTATTTTCGAGAATAATTTAAACCCCAATTTTTAATACCTCTGCTTAGTTCACTGAAAATTTCTTCCTTCAAATTTTAAGGATTAATATTCCCAAATATGTCTGTCCTAGAAGCAGACTGAAATTAGTTACCAATTTGCTTAATGGAGAGAAAATTTGTAGCTAATTTTAATTAGGAAGATGAGGTGGATATAAGTAAAATATTTTTGAATAAAGGTACAAAGGGAAAATTTAAAAAACAAGCATGATTATTGATTTTCAAAAATGAAAGGCTTTATATATCTTCATAATTTGCCAAGAATCCATAATGAGTGAGCTTTTTGCTACTAGCGATGTGCCTAATCAGATACTGTTTATTTATAATATATAGATTAAAAATAACCAAAAATTTCTGAACCAGATTAACTGAAATTTATAGAATAGGTTATTTTACACTTTCTGGAATAATTTTAAACAAAATCAGATATATTATTTTGCTATTTTCCAATTTAAATTTTAGCGCGTTTTAAAATTTGGAAAATCTAATTTCGCCGGATATTTTAACATACGTAAAACACCCACTCTACGAATTTCAGACAATTTAATATGATATTACACATCTATTTTATTAAAATAATTACATATTATAATTATTACATACTTTGGTTCCTAGAGTAACTAATATCCTGAATTATTATGGCATATATGTATAGAGCAAAGTTTATTAACAACTCTAACATGTTCTGTTTATAAAAATTTGTTAAAGAGCTTTTTTTATTGTTAAATTATATTATAAATGTAAAGCAAGATCAAAATTAAAAAATAATATATATATATTTTTTTTAATCAAGAGAAAATTAAATCGCTTTTGAACTTTATATATAATAATATTAGTGGTATTAATAATTTTTTAAACACATTAAGTTTGATTGAAAAATATTTATTTAGTAATTGCATAAGTAATAAAAATAAATAATTTAATATGAATAAACATTGATTTGGAAAATATGTGGTATATATATATATATATATGTTATATTTAGAGAAGATACCAATCAATCATGAATAGAATGTAAGGAAGTAGAAGATAGTGTGAATCCAAAATTAATTATTAATTTTGTATAAATCATAAGTCACTTTATCAAGTGTTGTTACTCAAATCGGGCTGGTGGGTTTTTTTCTTCTTCTTTATTTCCTCAAATAAAAAATGAATCACTTATTTAGAATAGATCCAAAAAAGAATTTTTTTTGTCCTGAGATTGGCAGCCCAATCCTTTATAATTTTTTTGGGCCCGAACTGAATTTTGTTTTTTTAAAGTCCCGAACTCAACCATGGTTCAAATTGTTTTTATAAAAAATAAATAAATTAAACGTTTCGTATGACCTAATCTCAAAATATTCAAATTATTGTTCTATGTAATAAAAGGGTAAAATGAATTTTGGAATGGCAGCTAGGATTAAGAAGGTGCACATTTTGCTGATATCACTACCTTTGTTCCAGTATAGACCGGGTCAGTTTCTTTTAACCGAAATCAGCCTGCGGGGCAGGACTGGGGTAAGGTTAAAGGGTGTAACAATATATTTACAACAACCTAATTTTATTAAATCATTTCAAAATACATATTTACTGTACCCTATATCTGGCCATTTTAACCGTACCCTAACTCTTCAAAAATGTTAATTATAAAAAAAATTGCTCTCGCCGGGATCTAAAAATGGTTTGCTGCGTGTGCATTAATCTAAATCTTCTCAGTAAACTCTCTAGGCTACCGCTGCCATTTAAAATAGATCTTGCGCATTTTAAACATAATTTTTTTTCTGTAACCGCATATACACATGACTGATGAAGATATCAAGAAGAAAATCATCAATTATAGCATGGTAGGAGAAAAAAAATATTATACTAATTTTTGTAGAATAAAAAGAATGTGTCGGTAAACTTAGATATCATATATTCCTGGTAACCCAAATTAGGGTTAAGAAATCTTAAATTGTTTGGTTGAATATTAAAAACATAGATCAATTTATGGACCCACATCGAATCCGAGATAATATGGACTAGGGGCCGATTAGGACCTCTTCTATTAAAATTTCCGTCTATTAGAGTTATAAAATCCTGAACCAAATGGGTTCACAACTCTGTTTATACTTATTTAATAGGTTTCTATGAATAAATTTTAATCACAGGTTATGTTTACATGATTAAATGTATCATTTTCATAATCTTTTGAAGTTAAAAATATTAATATTATTATTCGCAAGATATCAATTAATAGGGAGTAAATAACATTTATAGAGAAGCTATTTAAAAAATAAATGATAATATTTTTCACAATTTAACAAATTAATTTAAAAATAACCCTGGTATAAAGAGTACAAAGGTTCGTTAGGTTGAAGGTAATCCTATTAATATGTATAAATATTTAAACTGTTTATTCAAGCAGAAAAATTAATTAAAATTTTTGTTTAAATTCTAATTCTTTTAGTAAAAAAAATATAAGTTCAATTTAGTGGAAGAGATGATGCCATCTTCACAATCATTTGTTAAACCAATCTGGTACCTAAAAACGATCAGTTCTTAAATGGAATAAGAGATTTTTCTACTAAGCCAATGGCGATTTATCCCTCATCTTACCCTCTAATTTCTTCTTATCTCCTAAAGAAGGAAATTTAAATCATCAATAACGATCTTGCGTAATCCCCCCCCCCTCCCCCCGTTTTTGAACTTCCTAAAGGAACCACTTGAATGAAGCCATCCCTCTCCTAGCAAAAACTGTCAAATGAGAGATTTTTTTTATTAAAGTTTATTTTTTCTTTATATTAACAAGAATTTAAAATTAAAGTAAAACCTTTTAATCTATCGCAAATACATTGATTATTTATCCAACTTTTGCAATTCCTTTCCTCACCTTTTAGAGCAGCTCGTATTTATAAATTTTAAAAAAATTACTACTGATTCTGAAGATAATATTATTGAACCGCGTATTGGTGTCCCAAATTTCTATTCTATTGATAACGACCTAATAGAGATACGCGTTGATTCCAGTAAACATATTTTGATAATAAAAAATATAGGTATAGAACAGAGATCTGCGGTGATACCATTTGTATTGTCCGCCCTGCCCCGGATTAAAAAATTTTTTTTTGGTCAAAACCGGGTTTATTTTAAGGCCCGGCCTCGATATTTCCTAAAAGTATTTGTCGCCCGGATTTCTTTAAAAAAAAATTGGACCAGGGTATATAAATTTTCTACGAGTTTTTTCTTATCAAAATTTCGGCTAATTAGAGTTTTAAATTCCTGAACCCTAATTCAGGTTCACAACTCTGTCTATACTCATGTAACTATAGGTCCTAGTTATAAGAATAAATTTTGAAGTTTATTAATATTTTTATTAACAAAATATTAATTAATAGGGAGTATATAACATTTATAGCGAAGCCATTTGAAAAATAAATTTGATATTTTTCATAATTTATCAAACTAATTTTAAAATAAAACTAGTATAAAGAGTACATAAGTTCATTAGCTTGAAAGTAATTCGATTAATATGTATTTAGTAAAGCATTAAAATGCTTTATTATTTTTTTAAAATATAAAATATTATTATAACTGTTTACTCAGCAGAAAAGTTAATTAAAATTTTTGTTTAAATTCTTATTCTTTTAGTAAAAAAATATATAAGTTCAATTTACTAGAAGAGATGATGCCTTCATCAAAATAATTTGTTAAATCAAACTGGTACCTAAAAATGGTCCATTCTTAAATGGCACCAGACTTCTCTAAACTCCCTAAGCCAATGGCGAATCACCCCTTTATCCCTCATCTCACCCTCTAACTTCTTCTTATCTCCCTAAAAAAGAAAATTCAAATCAAAATTATATCAATGACAATCTTGAGTAATACCCCCCCCCCCCCCCACCTTTGTAGAAGTTCCTGAATGGAGCACTCGAAGGAAGCCTTATTCTAGAGGGATTTTTCTGTTTCAGCATTTTACGGATCATTTTTCAGCGAATAGGAAATCCATATATAACTTTTCAAATTATCTAATCTCCTCAACTGTCGTAAAAGGAATGAGTTTAAATCCCTACTTTTTCAAATCGGCTGGTCGATGGTAATTCACTTATTTTTGTCCCTTTTGGCATTTATATATGTAGCCGTCATTTTCACTCTATCTTCGGTAATAAAATTCTTCGAGCTGGAAGGTAAATAACAACATTTATTTGATTATCATTAAATATTCATAAGTAAAATAACCTAGAAAGGCGAAGAGCCCTTACGACATAGTTTTAAACCCCAGATAATTTCTGCATACTCTTTTTATACAATTTAGATTGCCTTCATGCACATAAATATATTCATTTTACTAAATTTATTATAAATGTGTTTTGAAACAATTTTGAGTCGTAAATTAATGTCTAACATGACTTAATAATGAAGTAAAGAAGCATTTCCATGTTCACCGCTTAAAAACTATCCTAAAAAGGTGGTATCCAGATAATGTGCGAGAAAATTAGGTCTCAAAATTTTTTTTAAAATGATTATATCAAATCGATTTCTAAAAATCTATAATTTAGAACCTCACTTCCATAATATTCATCTTTTAGTGAATTATAAGTAGTTAGCGGCTAATTAGGAAATGAACGTCGGTTGTTGAACCCTATCCTCTATTTTTTGATATTATATAAATCTATTCAAAAATTATTCGTATTTGATTTGAAATTATAGAATACTCTTATCTAATTATAGTTAAAAAATTTTAAATAATTGCTCGTACTGTTGAAACCTTATGATTGTTTCGCCCTTTATTAGTTATTGTTGCATTTATGGATCATTTATTAAAATTTAAGATTTATTATTTTTTTTATTTGTTCGAAAACAAAAACTACTGTTTTATTTTATTTTTTACTAAATAACAAAATTTATTCGAACCCTTAATTTTACATTCGAAATCTCTCAAAAAATGGGTTTCATTAAAAGTTTGCCGACAATGACCGAAAAAAACATTTTTCCTACTTCATTTAAAAATTATGTCCTATCAAGTGTTTAATTTATGTTATAATGGAAAATTATGATATTCAATTCACAAATCTATAATATATATTTTATGTTAAGAAAAATTCAACAAAAACCTTATAAGGATATTTAAAAAAATGTTAAATGGATAAAACTTAACTGTCCTCTTTGAAAAAAAAAGAAAACCTGTATATATCTTTATTCCCCCCCCCCCCCCCTCCCCTAAATCTGGTATAAATCAGCGATAAGGATTTTGGTGATATTGGAATTACGGCAACAAACATCTCAAGCGATATTTGCTTGCGAAATTAAGATACAAAGAAATGAATGGACATTTCATCAAATATTAGCGAAATAATGAGCTAGAAATAATTGCAATTAATTCCCACTTTTTATAAAAAAATTAAATTTATATTTCCACATTTAAATATGTTCATTCTAAAAAAATTTAGTTTACTGTATAAATATAACAAATTATTCATTATTACGATTATTAAATTACACGATTTAAAATAATTGAATCGAATATATTATATTTGATTAATTTTTTCGCAACCTAATTATATAAATATAATAAAATTTAAAAGAATCTATTTATATTATAGAATGTGCTTATCATTTTTAAGATATTGCACTAATCAAACTTCGTTATTTATACGCTTTAATGACGTAATTTAGAAAATTGCTTTTAAGGAAATATTATAATATTTTCTACAATATATTAAATTTTTTTTATTACATAATTTTAAACTAAATATCTAAGTAAAAAATGGTATGATTAGGATTGTAATGTTTATTTTTGATTTTTAAACATAATCAACAAGAACTTAAAAAGTTAAACAATTAAACAAAAATAGGCTCACTATGTGGAAACACATTTTTGATTGCTGTAGTAATAACAGACAAAGAGGTACGGCTAAAAACGATGGGACGCTTTGCGTTAAAAAAGGTAGTCCTTCGGATGTGAAAAAGAAAATCGTAGACTCATTTTCCACAACTAATTCGAGTAAATATGGAGGGGATGTCAATGATAGTATCGAATTTACTGAAACATCATGCGATAATAACGAGGGTTCAAGGGTAAGCAATCGATTAAGAAGAAGAAAGAAAAGCAATAAGAAACGAGAGAACAGTGAAAGTCTATCAGCAAACGATATAAATAAAACTAACAATCATTTAAACATCAGCGTGAACCGTAGTAATGCGACGGAAGAGCAGAGTGGCACTATTAGCAATTATACCCAAATTCCTGCCTTGATGAGGGAAGATTTGAAAATAGAGACATTCATAGAAGATCCGAGTATCATTAAAAGTTGTGCAGATATAACCGACAACTGCAAAGAAAGTATTTTTGGTAACATGATAAGTGATCACGAGTATTCCTCTCTCGAGGAATTAGAATATGAAATTCTAAAATACGAAAAATTGGAAGAAAGCAATAATGAAAACTGGAAAGTAAGTCCTTGTAATAAATATGATCCAATGCACAAGGAAAGTATTCTAATACCTTTTGTAGAATGCAATACGTTGAAAAACACGTATGACATGGGAATTACCCAAAAATTCAAGTATATACAATCTTTGGACGTCAATAAAGACGTAATTTATAAATATGAAGACGATATGGATTTAGGCAAGATAAAGATTAAAAAAAAGATAAAGAATTTAAAGATGAGCCCGAGTGAAGAAAACGAAAAGTATTTCCTTGAACACGAAAGATTGTTAAACCAGAACGATATCGAGTATTCGCAAGAGTTTAATGGAGGGGAATATTTTTTATCGCAAGAAGAAATAGCATCTTCAGAATATCAAAGTCCGATAGGGTCCAGTGAAATTATGGCTGATCTTTCGAAAGATATAATTGATCACAGAAACGCAGATATAGTAGGTTTAATGAGACAAGATAGTGCAGATATAGTAGGTTTAATGAGACAAGATTTTAATAATCTAAATATTGAATTAGAGAAGAAATTAATTATAAACAATTCAATAACTATACCTCAAATTATCATCTCGAGTATAGAGGAAAGTGGTGCCGATATAGTAGAAAGGATAATATGGACAGAGCCGATACAATCGTGCAGAGAGGAAAAATGTGAAATATCCATGATACCACCTGCCAAAATACATTTATGTGATATAAATAACGATAAACAATTTGATAAATTTTTGGGTCCTTGTTCAAGTCAAAATTATAAATATTCTGATAGAACATTGGAATTTCAAATTTCAGGTTCAGATGGGATTAATTTATTAGACGAACAGAAGCGAAAATTTGACAATATTTCAAGTTCATTGATGAATAAAAAAAGTGAAAACGAACTATTTTCAAATGATAAGAAATTCAAGTTTCATGATTCTCCTGATTCTAATAAATTGAATAATCATCAGATGAAAATTCAGTTTGACGAGGTTATGAAGGAACTAGTGACCTCTCATAAATCTTTTAATATGCATAACTATTATACAAAACCACAAAATAAGGAATCATTTCCAAATGCTCCAATCTATTATCAAAATAATGATTTAGTGGAAGAATTCCCTCTAATGATGTATGACACAAATACTATCACTGCTCTAAACATAAAATGTCCCGAATTAATAGAAAATATAGATTTTGTTGCAAAAGATTCGGTCCTAGAACCTAGAGATGATATAGTAACTGAAAAAAAGATCGGTTGGTGGGTTGAACTCAAACCAAAATTTGATTATTTTGCCGATTATAAAAATGTGACTAATAAGAGATACGAGCGTATCGACGAAGACACTATGAGTGACACAGGTGAACCATGTTTTGACACGGGGAACAACAAAAATTCGAGAATTCATATCAGATCCGCTATCTCGGCTCCGAGTTCCCCTCTGCTAAGCGGTGAGAAAAAAGGTAGGCTTTTATTGGCGAACTTTAAAAGGGATTTGAACCTTCTACTTATAAAGCAGGGCAGAGATCACAGGGTCCCTGCGGCCTTAGTTGACCTATACAGGGAATCACTCAAAGATATCTATGATTCGTGCCGAAAATATAACTGACAAAATAAAATCGTACAATTAATTTCTTTATTAAATATTGTCGTTTAAAAAAGAAAGAAAAAGTTATAAATAATTTCAAACATGATTCATATTGAATCGTTTTAATTGTGTATATTAAATATTAATGTTATTTGCATATGATAAAATAAATAAATTATTAACTATTTGGCGAAAATTTAAAAATATTAACAATTAATATAAGTTACATTAAAATTTTAAGTTATAAATGATTATTATAAATTTCGATAGTCTATTATTATTTTTTTTAAAAATTTCATAATTTAAGAATATATATTTTTTTATCACAATAATCAACAGTATGTTTTAATCTTTAAAAAAACATGAGACTTTTCGATGCCCCGATTTTATAAATATTTGTCATTTCACTGTATAATTTTTTTTAAAAATTATAAATTTTTCTAAATTAATTTTGTAATAGCGGGTCGAATGCCCATAAAATACTGGAATTGAGGTTTGAATGATAGTTATAGTTCTCAAGTTCCAGTAGACTTTTAAAAGAATTTTGGTTTGAAGGGTAGAAAGAATCTGTTCGATTAAATTCGTTGGCGTGGTTGTCGTCAGTCTTTTTGATATGTTGTTCACTAAATTCAGTTTTGAATTTGAAAGGCGAAACGGGGGATTTTCTTGGAATATCTTTGTAGGCGTCGTTGCCTTCGCAAACATCTAAATGATAGTTTGCATTCTGTTTGTTGGTGGCAGCGATGAAGGTCTGTGAGCCAAAAATGGAGAAGCCAATAATTTTTTTTATATAATATAAAAAGGGAAATAGAAATTGCTTCATTTGAAAAAAATCAATTAAAATCTCATAAAAAATAAATATTATGGTAGAAATGGATAATTTAAAAATAATGGGCTGCATCCCATGATAAACAGACCCCGGCTTAAACATTCATTTTTATTACAATTTATAAAAGGTATTATTGATATGATAACTTTAATTTCAAGTGTAATATCCAGGCTTGTGACTAATAGAAGGGGGCAGCCCCCCCCCTCCACCCCAGAAATTTTTCCCCGATCTCGAAACATGGAATTTCGATAAATTTTTTGACCACCAAATTAAAAAAAATAATTAATTATTGACTTTTAATTCGCCATTCATTTAAATCTAAATGAAAAACCAAAATTCATAGAAAATTTAGTTATTAAAATATCTAAGCCAGATTAATTGGATAAACATGAAAATACTTATGATAATATTAGTTATAAAATATCCATTCACTCATTAACAATTAAATGAAAAAACAACAAAGAATAATCGTCATTTTTCATTCCTCGACAAAGACATTAGTGTTGGCGAATTTGCCAGTTCCCGTGATGATTCATCTCAATCAATTGTAAAACATGGTAAGTCCATCAATGTTAGCGAGATTTAATCAAGAATAAATATTGCAGACTATTTTCTGCTAATCATGAGATATTACCTAAAGGTAATTAATCAATACATGTCAAGTGTCAAATATTAATATATTTTTAGAAAAAGATTGAAAGAAGACGAATATCTTACATGAGGAAAAATACTTTTTCAAAATACCTATTTTCCTAGTTCAAGATATTAAAAATGGCTAACTACTTTCTGCCTATCAGGCGATCATATTTAAATGTTAATTATAGATTAATAAAAAAAATTCAAAATTCTTAGGAGGCCTCCTTACCCCAGTAACGCTACTGATCAATACATATCAAATATTAAAATAATATAATAAAAATTTAAAGAGGATGAAAATTTTTATAGGTGCGAGTATTTTATTATGAAAATGACGAATATTTTTTTAGAATATCAATTTTTCTATTAAAGTGTAACTGAAACACCAGCAGGCACCGAAGGATACTCAGGCAGCCATCTTAAATTAAATTATAATTACTTATTTCCACCAATTGAGTAAAAGGTAATTGTTTAATAATTTCATTTTTGACGTTGTAATTCCAATTGGAGTCAGTGAAAGATAAACGAAAACAAAATTTAGTTTTAATATCATATGAAAAATAAATAACCCGAAAATTTATTTATGTTAAAATTTAAAAATCACAATAGTCCTATTATATTAGTATTATTTTTTATATTTAATTTATAAATTTTCAATAAAAATGGCAAAATTTGTCCTCATAAATAAACAGTTGACCCCTCCAACTGGAAATTAATGGCTACAGGCCTGGTAATATCGTACACACATAAAACATAAACTAAGTCTCATCTAACACTTAATGGTAAACTTAAAAATATAAAAACAAATTTATATAATCATCAATTTATAAAAAAATATCTGCATTTATTATATGAAAAAGTAATACACTCAATTAAAATAAAAGGAGTTTTAAATAACCATCAATCACAATAGAATTTACTCAATACTTTTCCACTACAAATTATTTCAATTATAAATATATTATCAAATAATTTTGAAATATAATTTTTTTTGTTCATTATTAAGTATTTTTTTAGATAAATTATGACCAGGGACATGGAACGGAACTTTGAATTAAATTATGGAACGGAACGTGTATTCCGGAACCTACCTCATACCTTCCCCATAAAATTCTTAGTATCACGATGCAAATATATTAGTACCTTCCTCAAAATAAACATCTTATTTCTGTAATTAGTATAGTTGGGGTAATGGCTAAATGTCGCCTATTCAGGCTCTTGCCGAAGAAAATTCCGTTAACATTAAGGCGCTTTAATTTATATTAGTTTCTTCTAAATTTGAGCTGCTATCTTTTAAGAAAAAACTCCGAGACCAAAGTGACAGTTTCTTAAAAATATATATACAAATTTTTATTAATTTCTATAATCAAACATATAAAAAATTTTAATCCATCTAACAAGTTTATTATTTTATGAAAATAAATATTATTAGTCATATTAAACCATACCCTACAAGCAAATAATAACAAATAGCTAACATGTAGTAAATTAAATAATTAAAACGAAGGAGAATATTTAACTGTTATTAAATAAAATTTTAAATGAACTTTTGATAATAAAAAATTATCCAAATGTCGGCATTGTGAAACCGAGATTGCCGAGAAACATAAAGGAAATTTATTAAGACATCTTAAACGAAAACATACAAGGAAATATAATGATATAATAAAAAATAACCCGAAATTTCTATTGATTGTTGAAATGTTAACTACAATTTTTAAGATTTTTTAAAAAACTCTTTTAAATAACTGATGAATAAATAACCTTTTTTTTTAAACGAAAGAATAATTCATGACATTATTTTAGCCTATTTTTTAAAAATAATTAATAAATGAAATTATTAGTGATATTAGTCATAAAAATCCCTTAAACTTGATCAACACGTTTTGATAGAAGCATTAGTTTGAAATTACAAACTTTATATATGATGGAACATAAAGTAGCCCATAACTCCAAATACATAAATTCAAAAGTCAAAGAAGTTTTGCTATTTATGAAATAAATCAAATATTGTCAGTCGTTATCTCATATATTTGATTATTCATAAATGTGCAAAACATCTTTGACTTTTGAATTTATGTATTAGGATGTTTGGTTTGAACTCCATCATAGATTCTTTAATATATTGAATATTTATTCCTAAAATGCTTCTATCGAAACGTGTTGCTATAAGTTAAAGGGATATTAATTTATGACTAATATCACTAATAATTTCATTTCTTAATTTTCTTAAACTAGTTTCAATATGTATCTGTAAGTTAATTTGATAAACTGTGATACCTAGTTATTATTTAATTAAAACAATATTCTAAAATAATCTCATTAAATTTTTAAGTTAGTTAAACTTTTATCGATGAGATTAATAAATCATTTATTTTGGAAAGTGGCCTACCATTAGATTCACTAGTGTAACCAATCCCTCCCATAATGTTTTCTAAGTAAGTGGTATTGAAATATTATGCTTCTCGGTATAATAAGTTAACATTTCTACAATAAAAATTTCGATTTTTTTTTCTTTTTTATTATTTGTTTTCATTTAAGATATCTTGATAAATTTCCTTTATGTTTCCCGGCAATCTCGGTTTCACAATGCCGACATTTAGATAATTTATTACTTGTTTGCTAATTGTTATTACTTTGCTAGGGGTATAGTTTAATATGACTAATGATTATTTATTCTTATAAAAAATAATAAAAAGAACGCATCTGTAAGATGAATTACAATTTTTTATTTTTTTAATTATAGAAACAAATAAGAAATTTATATATGAAGGTTCCAGTTCCGTTCCATAAATTTACTCAAGGTTCCTGTCCATGTCCCTACTAAAAAGTATTTAATCGTGTTATCAATATTTAATATTTGTTCATAATGAATATTCTGATTCGGGGTATAATGATTTATAATTAAATTTTAATTGTTACAATTTGATCATTTAAATTAAATAGATATTATTTTTACCTTTTGTTTTTTTAAAATTTTTAAGGTTGAAAAAAGAAAAGTTAATATGCAAATTATTAGTATTAGTAAAATATTGAACCAATATAAATATTAAAAAAACGGAAATATTTATAAATCTTTTAATTTATAGGGGTTTATTATAAAAAATTAAGGCTTAACACAACATACAAAATCATTTGTAATATTGGCAATTAACCAAAAGTTAAGCTTTTATACATATTATCGTAAAATAAAATGTTTTTATTTGAAAACGAAAACTAGTAATTATTTAAAATACAAGCAAACTAGAATTGATTTAATTAATGCCAGAACCCTACACTGATTTTCTTTAAAATATCTAATAACAGGTATATTTTGTTAAAGTAACTAATACATGAGATGGCAAAAATGTGATAGGGGCTAATCGAGGCAAGGGCTTATTAATTTCTTTCTTTTGGGCGTTGAGAAGTATCTTTGTCGGACTCGAACGTGTGATCTCTAGTTCAGTGATCAACTGACTCAAGCCGATACTATCCTGTTTAATGGTGTCCCAATATTTTTCACGAAAATATCCGGATTGGAGTTTCGGTGTTTGGGAGATAGTATTAACCGAATGAAGATTATTGATGCCACCAAATTTTGGGGTAGACGAGTTACACAATTTATTCTCATCTTTATAAGGGGTGGAGCAATCATTGAATTTGCTATCAAAGGATTTCAACCCGATCGAGGTAATACAACGGTTGACATGATTGAAGGAAGATCCGTCTGGTGGGTCTAAAAAAATGGTACTGTGAATATTGTGATTTTTGTGAGAAGTATATGGAGTTGAGTTGTTGGGAACTTTTTCTAATTGGTCTAGATCTAGCCACTTGACAACCTTTTTGAGTTTTTTATCCTGTATTAGTAAAAAAAGATAGTTTTATTTTTTATAACAAATCTTTTTTTTTATTAGAAAAATAGATGAAAAATAAAAATGTTCAAATAAAATATATTTTTTAACTTTAACTTTTGAATGCTCCGATGGATCGTAGTTAAAAATGGTGGAATCACTGATATCAGTAGATGTGGCTAGCAAGTTCCTTCTTTCTTTATAACTATTATTGCACTTTAAACTAAAGTTACTGTTACTACAACTGTTAGAACAATATAAAGTATCCATTTCGCCTTTCAAGAACGAGCTAGATGTATCAAAATTGTATGCAATCTTACTAGTTTTTTTCAGGATGGATGGATATTTAATGTCGGATTTCTCGTTTATCAATGTTAGGTCGGCGCTAGTCCCATCATAACTCTGGTATGGAATAATGGTATTTTGATCGACTGTCTTGATTTCAAGGTTAAAAAACGGTTTCTTATTTTGGCAGATGGGATAAATTAAATTGTTAACCATCAGAGGGTATATGGAAGATGCAGAGGACGTAGAATGGGTGTTGGCAATCAGATTATTTTGAAGGGGGAAAGGATTAGATGCTTCTTTGTTGGAAGAACGAAACGATTTTGAGCCTATAATGGATTCAGGATGTTTGATAGAATTATCTTGAAATTTAATTGTGGCGTCAAAGATGCTGGATGACCTGGGGCATGCCGCTTGATAATTTTAAAATTATTATTTATTAAGGATGCAAAATTTTGCAATATCGGTATCAGCGGATATATTTTATTTGACCGATCCGACATCAGAATGACGGATAAATTTTATCTATTCATTTATGATCAATTAAATTTCCTAGCAGAATTTTTTTAAAATTAAGACAATTATTTTTAGTTGAAATAAACCCTTAAGTACTATTTATGTTTATTTATTCTAATATCAATTTTCGGGTTATTTATTCAGTTTAGGGATAAAAAAACTCCCTAGTTTTGGGAAATTTTCTGTTTTTTTTAAAAATTACCACTACAATTCTTAGACCTTATTTTGGTCCTATACAAAAATTTCCCACGATTTTATTAAGGCAAGTATTTAAATTAGAGATCTACAAATCACACCGGGTCTATTTTAAAAAATATTTTCGGTTCGGGCTTAAATTTTTAAATATGATATCATTATATTTTGTCAAATAAATTAATACATTTTAAAATTCTTGTAAGAAACAAGGCGCCAATATTTTTTATTTATAAAATATTTAAAAAAATATTAAATTTTTCTACATTTAAATAAATTAGGGCCCAGCCGATAAACAATTTTTATTTTGAATTATTCGGGCAGTATTTTAAAATGATAAGAAGAAAACATTTGGTAGATATCTTAAATTTTTGCAATTACTAGATTAATCTCCATTTTTTTATATTTTGTAGTTTTAATTTTTTTGAACATGAATTTGAAAATGTGAAAAGAATGATAAGCTTAGGATGGAAAATTCTATGAGGTTGGATAACAGGGATTTTGGGTATTTGTCGAGGGAAGGATCTACTTTTTGATATTTTATAATAAAAAGATATTGCATAAATAAGTAAAAAGGCACTTGTTTAACATGAAAATTTTAATAAAATATCCAGATATTTTTTTAAATTTTATCAAATGACACATTGTGTAATAAAATTACATTCCATAATGCATCTCATTCATGATATTTCAGTCACTAATTTTTTTTTTATATTTAAACATTTCATATAATATACTTGATAGCCTATAATAAAAGACATTTGTATAAATAAAAATAACTTTCAAATATGAATGAACAATTATAGTTATAATTAAACTTTATTTTTTTTACTGCTCAATATTTTTTAAATACAGCCCAAATTATTTATATTTTTTTTGATAAATTTATTGCACAACAATTTATAAACACTGCACCAAAAAACGTGGCCTATTTTAAATACGGTAAAACTTGTCTAATATAAGGTTTGGTGCTTGATATTCTAAACTGATAAGAAATAAAAGAAAGAAGGTATTGTTAATTTTTTTTCTATTTTATTTTACAAATTTCATAAATTAATTTGAATATAAAAGTTTTTAACTCAAAACTATCCTTAACCCCTTTTTTAAAATTAAATTAAATTCCCAACAGTGCCCAAATTTGATATTTTACTGTATTTTTAAAATTGAAACTATTTTTTATTGAGGGATGGGAATGGACATTTATACAATCCATCTCATTTTTAAATCACTATATGGCTCATTTTGGAGGAGGGAACAATATTAAATTTGAGATTCTCATAAAAATTACAATCATAGTATAAATTTGTTGGCATATGTAAGAATTGATAATTGTTATTCAAAAAGACAATTATAATTTATTGTAGGACTGGGGCTGTGTCCTGTTTTGTTTACCTTATTTTAAAATTTAATTTCGAAAACACGTTTTTTTACTATAAATATATTTTATTTTCCATAAAGAAATCTTAAATTTTAACAATAAATAAAACGATAAAATTTCTAATATTAAAATCATGTATTTATTAGTAAATTCCTTATATTTAAATAAGGCAAGTTTTTAACATAAATGTTAATTATTTTTTAAACCTTTAATTTTAATGATAAAATAAATTCTTACTAAATTTGAAATTTTCCTTAGGGGCAATTTAAATTCGTGATTTCCTTTCAAGTTAAAAATTTTTTACAATTAAAATGACTTCAATAATGATACTAGCTTTCCTGAATACTAGGTATGTGTCCACCACAGGGGCTAGACTGGAATTGTTCATGGTAGCATAATACGGGGAGAATAGTCTAGACATCCCGGTTATTGTGTATGCATAGTGGTTGACGACTCCTAGGACCTGGCAGCGAGCTGTCTGCCCAATTCTTAGTGCTGGTAAGAATGCCTCCTAAAGATTTGTAGGCATTATTCTAGTCTTCTTCTTGTATTGGTGTCTGCTTGGATAGTTTTATTAACTAAATCAATGAGGTAGGTGATGTGACTCGTAGGGTCCAGTACCGACTTTTCTGGGGCTATCTGTAGGCCCCACCCCTCTAAAGTACATCTTAGTACCTAGTTGACCACTTTACATCAAATTCGTTGTCTCCGTAGATTAGTATGTCGTCTAGGTAAACATTATAGTTTGCTTTTCTTACTGTTTTCGCGCATGCGTCTAAAACGATAGATTGCAAGCAGTATGGGCTAAATGATGCCCCCATGGGGAGCACTTCGAAAGCGTAATTGGTGTTGTTGAAACGAATTCCAAAGAATGGTCTTACTTGAGCAGACAGCGGTATAGAGAAGAAGGCTGACCGAATTAGAGAACTGCACAAGCTGTCCGTAGCCCGACCCGAGCCTCGGGTCGGGTTCGGACATCAAAAAAATAAATAAATAATAATATTAATTATAAAATCATATTATTTAATATTTATCATATTTTTGGATTAAAATGTCAATCATATTAACATGTCATGTCATTATTAATTATTATTTTATAAACCTAACAACCGGATACCAAACTATTTTATCACTAAATTGTGTGTTTCCCGTGAATTACAAGATACGACATATTTTATGTACTAAAGATAAGTTTTATTCATTATTTATCTAGCCTATACATTGTCTTTTTTAACATTAGTTTTAAAAAATTTCTATATAAAATTTAAGATTGAGATTTGATTCAGGGGAACTTATTTCTATAATTTAAATTTCACTACCATAAATGTTAATTATCCTAGAAATTAAAAAATATTATATAAAATTGGTAATGATATTCTAAGTTACATTTATATATAAAATATAATCTTTACTTATTTCGTTTTGGTATTATTATTTTTTTATCTATCTACCTTAATATGAGTTGTAAATTTTCCAGCTAATTTTGGTTGTCAATATTTTAAAATATGGCAGAAAAAAATTAGGAAATTAATACAAGATTCTCTAAGAAAATAAGATGTATACTGTGATATGTAAAATTTAAAACATGAATATTAAAAAGAATCTGTATCTGTATCTTTTGTCAAGAAAATAAAAAAGATACAAGATTCTTTTCAGAATTAAGGATCTTAGATACAGATATTAGTATCTTATTAAAAATGTCAAAATATACTGAGTACAAGATATAAAGGGATCTTGTATCATGTATCTTAGATACAAGTATTCGCAGTACTGCCCAACTCTGTTTATTTCAATAAAGTCATTTTAAATATTTTTTTTAGATTTTAGACACAGCCATATTAAAATTATCTCAATGGATGCAAAATTAAAAAGAATTGGTGAAAAGATTAAGACAAAAGAGTAAGAAGTAAGGGAGAATCTTAATGGAAAATCCGATGTATGGAAGAAATTTTCATTTATATATGATGAAAATAAAGAAAAGCTTAATTATGTCATTTGTATTATATGCAAATTTATTTATGTATATAATTCAATAACAACAGGTTAGATATTTATCCATAAAATATGATCTTATTAAATTATTTTAGGCACAAATCAACTTAAAAGACATAAATGTGTATATACAAATACAAGTACAACAGCAGAGAGTAAAAAGACACAATTAACAATTAATAGTCTTTTTGGTACTGATCCTAAAAAACTCAAAAGTTGTACAAAATTGAAAAAAGAGTGCACAAAGGTGCTTACTATGTTTTGTGGACGTGATTTGAGATCATTTGATACAATTCATGGGGAAGGGTTTGTTGATTGTTGCCAATATTTTGCCAAAATAGGTTCAATTTTGGAAATATTGATGTTAAAAGCATCATTCCAAATCCTACGACAATTTCTAGAAATTTAGTAGATACTGCTGATGGTATCCGCAATAAATTATTTCCTATATTAAACTCATATATGAAAAAGGGTCGATGTGCTGGTAACAAATTTATGAAAATATGGTTAAATTATTAATAATTTTTTATAGCCACCACAGACCTTTGGACTGATGATTATAAAAAAAATATCATATGTAACTCTAACAATTTATTTTATAAATGATTCCTGGAAACTAAATAAAATTGTGTTGTTTACATGCAAATTTGAAGAGGAAAAAAAGACAGGGGAAAATATCAAAAAGGAAACTATTAGAAATTTCACCTTGTTAGGTATTGATTTCATTAAAAATATTTATAAAAATCCATGTATCAGGATACAGCAGGACCTATTTATCGAAAATTCCAATTATTACCGACCAAGGAGCTAATATGTTTAAAGCTTTTGAAAATCATAAGCGTTTAAATTGTGCTTCTCATCTATTAAGACGGAATTCCCCAGATGATATTAATATTAGTAAAGAATATTGTTTAAAAATGATTATGTGCTATTTCAAAATGTCTTATATATAGATACAGGTTTCAATTGCCACATTATTTTACACTATGGATGAATAGAGAACTTCAAAGTAATTTTTTCGCAACCCGTGCCCGAATTTAAAAATTTTTTTGTCCGAGCCCGACCCGAGCACACATTTTTTAGTCCAACCCGACCCGAATAAAATTTTGCAATTTAAGTTTTAATATTATAATAACCAAAAAAAAATTTATGTGTATTTATTCAGTTTAGCCACCTTAAATAAAAGTTTATTTGACGGCCATTATCTATTCAAGATATATATTAAGTTGCATTTTATTAAATTTGTAAAAAATATTATAAAACGATTAATATACAAGCGAATTTAAAAATTATAACGATTATATAATACAATAAGCATCATTTATGCGAATATAG